CTCTCTCTCTCTCTCTCTCACACACACACACACACACACACACACACACACACACACACACAAAACAAAAAGAGATTGCGATGCCCATCCTTCATCTTTAAAGCTGACTACGTTCCTGACCCTTCCAAAAAAAATCCTTTGCTTATGCTATTTTTATTTAAAAAAAAAGCATTCTTTTAAATACATTATATAAAAATAAACTGTAAAGTATGGCAATGAACATAACATAAGGATAGATTTTTATTTACCGGTATGTAATGAATCTTGAAAGGAAACCGAAGAAGAGGAAAGTCCAAGTAATTTCTTGGAGGTCCTTCAGTCCCACAAGTAAGAGAAAGGAAAAGGCAATAAATACTATAGGTGAACCATTGGCTACATGATTGATGTTGAAACTGAAGATTTTGGTTTTGGGGAAAACCAAGTCAAATTCCAGTAATATAGATGCTTTATAATCTAGAAGGCTCATGTATCACAGGCCAGGGGATAATATTCTCATTTGAAATTTAATCAGAATAGCCACAACAGTATTAAACAGACTTTTTCAAATGGGTACGTGCTATGAGCTAAATGAAGTACAAACTCAAAATTGCTGTCTCATGAACAGATTCCACTGACGTGGAAAGGAACGATAAGACATTTTTCAGTTGCCTATATATCAGTACTAGGTGTCTGAGTAACACGCAAGAGGATTTGAAAATTCTCATTAAAGATATAATTGGCATTACTGAAACCTGGTGGGATGACTCGCATGATTGGAATGTTAAATCATTATATAACCTGTGTAAAGTAGGTAAAAGATGTGTGGGTACTGGATCTTTACAAGGAAACACTACCCGTTAAATACATTGTCATGAGTTATCAGAAACTCAGAACCACATGATTTTGAATTCATATGGATCCGTGTGCTAACTAACACAATTCAGGAAGGGGTACAGATGGGTGTTACAATAAATCAAATCATTCCAGAGAACAGGATGATTTACTCTGTAAGAAGCTGACTGGAGTTTATGGAAAGAAAAAATATATTATGGGGGACTTTCATTGCATAGTAGGGTTGCCAGATGGTCTCCCATAAAATACCGGACACGCGGTATTTTTGGTCGAGAGAAAAAAAAAAGAAAGGAACGTGGGATAATAAGCCCCACTATTCTGGGACACCCAGAGCAGCGATCGCAACCTCACCTCCCAGCTGGGACTTCCAGGCTGGGAGGCGGGACCGCCATGTCTGCTGGGAGCCTGTGATTGCGCAGAAGCCTGGCGGGGGCGGAAGGAGTGGCTGGGAGCCGGTGCACAGCCGGAAAAATCAGAGAATACCGGACATTGCACATGTCCAGTATTCTCTGATATTTTTTTTACCGGACAAAGAGCGCAAGTACCAGACTGTCCGGTAGAATACCGGATACCTGGCAACCCTATTGCATAGACACATGCTGGAGAGCTAATACAGCTGGCATTGAAATATCATTAGTTTATAAATATTGTAGACTTTCTAACACTAAGACTTGCACCCAATACAAGAAAACTCTGTACCTCATGAATCGTAAACATGAATTCATCAGTGGACAGGAATTTGGTGGTTGGCTCTAGACTATCATGATTTGATTGCATTTGATACAAGAAAACAGAGGAAAATATCTAATTTGTCAAAGTTTAGGAAATACAGTAAAATTGAGTTAAAATTTTCTCTAGGACAAATAGGTGATGGATCCTAGTTCTTCAGAGGGCCTTCCTTGGCTGGAGCCAGTGTCTCAGAAGTTTCCACATGGAAGCATATATCTACATATGGATGTTCCATGTTGCTGAGAGAATTTGGGGATAAGCTAATGGAGTGCCAAGGGTAAAATTCCCGAGTTTCTCTGTCACCATAATATAAGGCAGATTACTGAAACGTTAAGTTTGTTTTATCAATTCATCTCCAGCTTTTTATGTAAAAATGTAAGATTGCAATGTATTTGTAATTACTAATGTAAAAAAAATCTTTTGTTCAATGTTAATTTATTCATTTAAATCTAGTTTGGTTTTTATCTTTATTTACTATTGCAGTGATTGTCTAAAACCATCACTTACTACACATTTATATTTTTTCCTCTTTTGTTTGAAATATTTTTATCTGCCCTTTTTGGGGTTTTTTAGTTGTTAGTCCTTTCTTAAATGTAAAGCAAACACAGATTTTGTGTGTCTGTAACTCTCACAAGTAGATTTGAGCCTCATCCAATTCTTATTGGTTTTTAATCTTCTTAGAGCCTCTCTATTTAATGAGTACAGGTTGAACCGGAAACATCCATGGTCCTCCCTGCCCACGGATGTTGCAGGACCAGAGAGTCCCAGTGGAACGCTGGTGCTTAGGAGACCTGCAGGCTGTCAGGACTGCAGGCTCTTCGCAGTAAGCTGCCAGTGGGACCAGGAGTCCAGCTCCTTGCAACTGGACTGCCCGGCTGCCTGGTGGGGCCTTGAGCGTCCTGGCGAGGCTGCCTGGTGGGGCCTGAACCACCCTGGTGGGATGCTCAGCAGGTCTGCCTGGTGAAACTGGGAGCCTCAGCAGGGCCTGGAGCCCAGAACACTACAGCTGGACTGCCCGACTTGGAAGGCAAGGAGGATGGGGGTTGGCTGGGCAGCAGGGCCTATGATGGAGTAGGAGGGCAGGTGGTAGGGAGTAGCCAGCCAGGAGGCCAGTGGCAGGACCAGAGCTAGTGGGAGAGATGGCAGAGGGCTCACATATGACCTCCCATGATCTGGCAAAATCCCTCATCCAGGACCAGTCAGGTCCCAAGGCTGCCAGACTAGGGAGTTCCCACCTATACTTCAGCTTCTGATGGGGGAGCACACCTGACTTGTTTCGTGCCCATGACAGAAAGTGTTTTTTTAGCATAACTCCATTATGTGATAGTGATTTATTGTAAAAATAAATGCATCTGTCTTACAAATATGTGGACCTAAATTTACCATAATTTCTTTGATGAACTTACTCTAGTTTTGAAAAGTTGATACTCATTTCATTTCTTTGATCCCACAAACCATTATTCAAGAGAACAATTCAAACTCACTGAGGTAGTCCAACTGAAATAAAGGTTGCTACTTTTTGCTGACTCTTTGTACTTCCTTAGTCTGTGAGCTCTTGAGGTAGGGACTGTCTCTTTGGAACAGCTGGGAAAACATGAGATCCATGGGTTTGTTACCATAAACAAATAAGATATGGTTTGTGCATAGTTCTTGCATGAGTGTTGTATAGCCCGAGCTGGCTGTTTAGGGGTGTAAACTTAATCCTTTCTGAATCATAGGTAACAAGAGTAATTCTTACCTCTTTGTGTGATAGGAGTAATAACAACGTAGTATTACCAGTGCTATATCTTATAAATACCTACATTTGGATGCTGCAGCTGAAAAGTAAAATGGCACTTGTGAAAGAGTTAGGCTGGCTGTTAACCATGTGTGCATGTGTGTTGAGAGAGACACAGCTGTAGGATTTTACTTAAAATAAATGTTCTCCTCAGAAACCTTGTTGATACTTTTTTTACAATGGGGGGGGGAATAGAATTAAGAGTGCTAGCCAACAATTAACTTTATATCTCAGCCTTATGATTCTGATATGGAGTCATAAGGTCAAACATAACTATTTAGTACATCTCAAGTACAATGTGGAACATCACAAGATACTGAATTTACTGACAGCTTCACAAGTTTGTGTTGTGTGTGATATGGTTTTTGCATAAAGATTGGAAAGAAGCATAGCAAACTGGGCCTTTTTTTTTATTTCAACATGTGTAAACCCCCAAGTCTTTTAGAAAAGAATGATTTTATTACATATTCATCTGACAAAGTGGGTCTTATCCATGAAAGATATATTGTTAGTATCTAAGGTGATTAACATGACTATCCCTCTAATGATGCATCTACACTGCAGGGCTTAGCTTGAAATAAGCTACAGAAATTGAGCTAAGTCAATTGCATATCTTATTTCGAAATAGCTTATTTTGAAATAAGGAACATCTGCACAGCACTTATTTTGAAATAGAGCACTCTTCCTCCAACTTCCTTATTCCTCATACAATGAGGGTTAGAGGAATCTGAGTAAGAAGTTGTCCAGCTTGAACGTATTTTGACACTATTTCAAAATAACTACCTGTTGTATAGACACAGACTAAGTTATTTCAGAATAGTGCTAGTTATGTCAAAAAGGTGTTGCAGTGTAGATGTATCCTAAAACTTTGTTACTTTTGTTACTAATGATATCTGGCCCACTTTTCACATAATAAAAATTATTCATGAAAATTGCAAAAGATTCAAAACATACAGAATTTTAGAAATGATAGTATCTTTTAGGACTTAGTCCAGGTAGACTAGCAAAGTTAATTTTAACATACTTTCTAGATGTTTTTGTTATAAGATTACAGATATAGTTACAAATGATGACATGTAAAATGGAAATAATGACCTTTTATAAAGTGCTTTTGAGATATATGGATGAAAAGTGCTGTGTTAGAGCTAAATGGTGATGGTATTATATTGATTGATTGCATTGCATTATTTCTCAGCATTTTATCATCAATTACAGTTAACTTTAAAGTGTGGAAATGAGTTAAAGTCTGCTTTTCTTCATTTTTAAAGTTCACAAAACTCGAATCCAGAAATTCATCCAAATGAAAACTTTCCTAAACTTTCAGGTGGAGGTGATGTCTGGAACTGTATCTCCTCATTCATGCATATCTAATTATAATCACTGGACATCACAATGGTGTAATACACTTTCATATGACATCATAAGAAAGATTGACTATTTTCATATAATTAATCATATCTACTGAGATTTAATTATGAAAGGGAAATACAGATCTTAATTCTATTAGTAGTTACAGACAACTCCATTGTTGTGAGTAGGATTAAACCAATATTGGAGAGGTAAAACTTGTCAAATTAATGCAAGTCCGGTATTTAAATTATTCTATTTCTAGGTCTAGAACAAATAACGATCCAATACATATATTTCTTTTTATTCCTAGTGGTGTTGCTTGATACTACAGCTGCACTTGGAGAGCTAGGATGGAAAACCTATCCTTTAAATGGGGTAAGTCAAGCTGGTTTAGTTTGTGTTGTCCTTTTATTCAGTGCTTTTTCATTTCAACAATAGAATGGACTAGTTTTGCTAAATCAATATTTTCCTGAAGTATGTATATTTCAGCATATGTACACTCCATCCCGTGAGGGCAAGAGTACAGGGGTGTGTGGACACTGCTTGCACTGCTGTTAGTCTGTAGGTGACTTGAGTCGCTCAGTCACTCCAAGGCACCGTGGCCTAATAGACTATGTCTTTATAGAGGGTCTGTAGCATAGCCATTGGGTTCAGGGTAGCACAGCCTAATGACCAGAGTCTAGGGGTTAGGGTAGCTGTTCCAGTAGAGGGACTCACACCCATCCTACTCAACCAGGCCCCAACCCAGTGCCCTGTCCATGGAGAAGTGATCTGCCATTCGCTCAGCAGGGAATCTGAGCACCACACACTGAGCTCATTTGGACAGGAGGTATCACTCACACACCCTCCCTTGGTCACTTTCTGCCAGCTCTGGCATTGGGGCAGTCCACTTGGTTTTTGGCTCCACAGGCTCTGAAGCACAATGTGGTCTCCTGGGTCTCCAGCTCTCATGATCTGAGTCTCTGCTAGAGTTACTTCTGGAGCTCCAGTAGCAGGTTCTTCCTCTCCAGCATCCAGCCAAGGCTGATCTGAGCTGGGCTGCTCCCTTTCATACTGCTCCAGCACTTGGTGCATGCTCAATCTGGGTGGAGGGGCAGTACTTCCTCCACCCACAGCATTTGAACCCTCTGTCCCAGCGTGAACTAGAATCTGAATACTAGTTAACACTAAGAGCCCCCCAAATTGCAAATATATTTATGCACATATTACAGTACTATCAGCTGCTACTTCTATAGGTAATGGTCTGCCAGGATTTCTCATGTCTGTATTTTGAGGTAGTTCTGTTATGAATATCTGTTCTGTCCTAAAACTAGAAATTTTTAATTCAGGCACAAGTTTTCTGTAAATTTCATAGAAAAAAAATTCATTTATTACAGTAGTTTAAATAATTTATACAATCAAAGTAGCATTTTCGACTACATGATTTGATGGCGTGTTTCCAAATGTTAATTCTGAAAGCCTATTAAAATATTATAAATAAAGCGAAAACAAAGTTACCAAAGTTTAAAACATGGATATATTTATGTACCGTGACTTTTTTCTGTATGACACTTTTAGTCAAAAGTTTGGTGTCCCAGATAATGTTTTACATGTTTATACAGTACTGTTAATATAGATTGACATGTCAAGAGGAGCAAGGTGCTATGTAGGGCACAAGACCTCTGAGTTTTGCAGATGGCTGTCATGCTTAGAGGTGCTATGGTCAAGACTGGGAGAGGGAAGAAGTACTTTTTGTTTAGTATCAGAGGGGTAGCCGTGTTAGTCTGAATCTGCAAAAGTGGCGAGGAGTCCTGTTGCACCTTATAGACTAATCGAAGTGTTGGAGCATAAGCTTTCATGAGCAAAGACCACTTCGTCAAGTGGGTCTTTGCCAACGAAAGTGGGTCTTTGCCCACGAAAGCTTATGCTCCAACACTTCAGTTAGTTTATAAGGTGCCACAGGACTCCTCACCGCTTTTACTTTTTGTTTGTTTCACTTGAGTAATATTCGTGATTGAACTTCAAATGGTGTATTGTTCTTTTCACCTGCCCAGTGCTCTTAACAGGATATCAAGTCATTTTTAGTTTCACTTTTAATTACAATGTAGTATATTGAAGCAATTATGTCCTTTTTATGTGTGGGGTCCTTATTCTAAGAACACCCTAAATTTAGCTATCTTTTTCCTTGTGTATCATTCACTTTTATATTAGGTGGTATTATCTTTTAATTACTGGATATGATGTGTGTGATGACTTCTGAAGCAAACTGAGATATAGAGCACCAATGGGATTTTGTATGAAGGGGTAAACTTGTTGTTTCATTCTATGTGGGATTTTCTTTCTTGCAACACATTCTAGAAGAAAATAAAGTTGTTCATCCTCAGCACCTTAATAATCCATTCTTTTAAAAGTGCCACTAGTTTCTATGCCTTCAGGGAATCCAAACAATGTGACATTTCTTAATCTCAGCATATTTTCAAATTTATGGATTACATTTTTCAGGCTTTTCTAGTCCTTTGTATTCTGAGACAAGATTTTTAGTCTATTAATACATCTCTTGGTTTTTCACACATAGTTTTCAGTTTTATATAGCCTGAGTCCTGAATTCTGAAGGTTTCTTTTGAAATTATGTAGAAAATAAACTGGCTCAGATCCTAATAAGATAGCTACAATATGAGCCAAATGCCTTTTTAATCTAGTCAAATGATGAGTCCCATTAAAGTCAACAGGACTGCTTGTGTGCATAAGACAAACTGATATCATTTCCTTTAAATAGCAATGGGCTTTTCATATGTATTCTTAAAAGCTTCAATCATTTCACCAACAATAGATCTAAAATGAAAGCGGAAAGGAACAACAACTTACACAATAACCATCAGAAAATGTCTATTTTGGCTGCTCTTGTAAATCTCTTCCCACACTCAATTTTGTAGCTCATTTTAAAACCACAGACATGTTGGAAGTTTTGCCAGAGGAACTGCTTCTACTTTGTCAGTTTTAGGAATTGGCAGTATTTCTCTGATACAAAGAGCTTACACATTAATTAATAGTAAATATTTAGGGGTCTGCTTATTTTTAAGATATGATGTGATCTTTTGTTGGGAATCTTGTCAAGAGAATTTCACTGAGAAAATTGTGATAAATACATTGGAAAAAGAAGAGCTATGTGGCTTGAAAAATGGAACACATTGTGCAGGTGAAAACCCGAATTGCTATCATATATTAGTTTGAGCAATTTTTAAGCTCCACTGCTAGTATTGGTGATAGATATTCATTGATACTAAGTAAACACTGGAACTGAGAAAATAGAAAATCTCATTCATGAATAATTGAGAAGCAAATATAATATCCTATTTCCTTGTGGAATAAACGGATGTGTTTTTATGAATTGTATCATTCATAACAGAATAATTTAAATATATGCAAAATTGCTGTTTAAAATGGGTAATGGCTAATGATTGCTTCCTGGCTTAAAAAAACTCAATTAAAGTATATACACATTTCAGTAAGTTCAGAAGTTAATATAGGAAAACCTATATACATATGTAACAAATTATTAAGGTGGTTGTGAAATTAATCCTTAAAGCTAAAAACTAACGTGTATTGCTTAACTCCTTACATTTTGAATAACTTTTGATTCCTGCACCTAGAATGAAGATAAAAGGATTATAGTTTCCCTCACTGCTAGCCCCTCTTCATTTACTTAGCAGATGTGCACAACATGCCTCCCTTAGGCCTATCATGTAATCCATAAATTCTATTTATTTGGAATTCTGGCTTTCCATCAATATATAGATCAGTTTATATCCACACATTTTTGAACTAACGGCCAAATTCTTCCTTCAGAATCACTTGTGTGGCTCTCTCTTTCTTAAGCCAGAAACTATTCTCTTGTATTTATTGATTTTAAAGTTAAAGTTCAATAAAATAACTGCTCTCCTAAATCCTTCGCAAAATTATCACAGATGTTGCATTTCCAGGGTATTCCTATGCAGTTACATATCTAGCCTAACATAGTTACTCCGTACTCTGAGGCATATCTGTGCAATCTAGATAATTTATTTTCCATGTAAATGGAAATGCTCCTGACCTTGGCGAGCTCCTCAGAATTACCCCTGTGACTGGGAGACCCTATAGAAAGCCTTTCTTCAAAGCTCAAAGTCAGAACTTGATAGGGCTTTGGGAGCAGGGAAGGTAAAGCATCATTTATTCATACTGGGGCTCTTTCGCTAGTTGCATGAGTGAATTGGCAGTATGCCTCTTGGAGGGTCTGCATGTAGTATTCATTCATTCATTCAGGCACGTCTGCCTCCATTGTTCCAGGCTCTCCAGAGTTGTGAGACTATGTGCCCTGTTTACTTCTCCCACAGAAGGGGATCATTAATTCTCCATTATGAATGTCTCCAAATTTCCTGATCTGTGCCCATTTCTGTTGCATAAAAAAGCCTCCACCTGAGCTCACTAGATTTATATACATGGATTTTCTAAAGGTATACCAAACTGTTAGGTCTAAGGTTTTAAACTGCAACTTATTGTGATCCTTGTCAATCTTTGCAATCTGTGTAACTCTCAAACTTACTGTAAACTGCAACTTTGTAATCTTTGTAACATGCGGCCACCTTGCTTGTAACTTTCCCTAAGCTGCATTCTCCCCTGAGCGAATGGAGAGAGAGTGTGAGTGTGTTTGAAGAATGCTTGGAACAATGGACCACATGGCAATGAGTCATCACAGTCTGGGCATGCTCCCTGCTGGATAAAGGGAAGTGAATGGGTCACAGGAGCCATTCAGACACTATATAAAGAGAAGGAGCACATGTAAGACTCTCTTTTTTTTTCCTTCCACTGATCCTGAGAAGCTCCCCTCCAGTGTCTTTCCTCCTGACCAGCTTCCCCAGCCATGATGAGCAAACAGACCCTCCAGGATTCACAAGCCTTGGCTTCTTCTGCAACCTATATGAAGCAAAAACAAATTTGAAGTTCATTTCATTTGTCTTTTTGATTTTGAATACTGAAGGTTCACCTTATTGAACTTATTTCTGCAGTCACACATCAATGAAAGCTGAATTTCACATTAATACATGACTCCAAGAGCTAGAGCTTACAAACAAACAAAATCCACCACAACTTGCATAATTTTAGATACTATAAATATAAAAAAAACTTCCTCTATGCTTATCCACTTCAGTCGTAATTTGGAACACAAGCATTGCCGTATTGATCCATCTGGTCTGATGTTCTGTCTTTGACAGTGGTTATTGGTGCAAGAACCCCCAGGATGGAGTATTACAGAATAAATGGCTCATGGAGAAAATTTCTCCCACAAACCTTTTGCTGGTTTGTTTATCCTTAAGCATCATGGGTTTTATCCCATTTTTTCATCTTTTATACTGTGGATA